GAAAACGCGATCGTGACCAAAGACCCAACCATAATCAAGTGTGAACGCCGCAAGCCACATGAAAATTAGCCAGGCGAAGAACCCAACCCATTCTCGAAACGAGGCGACTATGAGCAGGACCACTCAGTGCACGAACATAGTTGAGGGGCCTGCGGTACCCCTGAAAGCTTCGCCAAAGGCGTAAAATCACATTGAGCGAGTGAGGGGGGTGAGCAAATGGGGCGGGGCCCCATGCGAACGAAGCCACTGGAGCCTTCCGTGGGGCTCCATGTGGGCCACGAGGAGTGTGAGGGGTGTGACGATGTTGGGGCGGGCACGCATGCGAACCCTGCCACTGGGGCCTTCAGTGGGGCTCCCTGTGGGGCCACGCAACGTGTGAGGGGCGTAGCGGAATGGTGGCGAACCCGCAGGCTGGCGCTGCCACTGGGGCCTTCGGTGGAGCTCCCTACAGCGCCACGAAATGTGTGAAGGGTGTGACGACATAGACATGCGAAGAGCGGGGAGACGGGAGGTGAAGGTGGAGGTGCGAAGGAGGCGGGGCGCTGCAGATCCAAAACAAAGGCCCAAAACAACAGGATGGTTGGGAGCAGTACGTTGGATATTTGAGAGAAGCCTCGAGGGGAGGAGGAGGAGGAGGAGGAGGAGGAGGAGGAAGCTCCGAAGGAGCTCCATGGCGCGCAGACGTCCATAGATCTCTGATAGCCTCGGGAGACCTCCGGGAACCTCCTGAAGACTTCCAGGCACCTGCAGCCAACAAGCTGCAACGACTGACTGAAGACCCCTTGCCGACCAGAGCGACACTGGAAAGCCCGCCCAGGCCCCGTGGTGAAATGGAGGGCGCTGAGATTCCGACTCAGCTCTGCATGGCCAGGGGGCAGGGTGGTGGTCTGGATTTAGCTGGTGACTCGGCAAGTAATTGTTATCAATCTGCACCAAAAAAGCCTTCTGCGAGCCGGCTTATGAACCAGTTTTCCAGCTCAGGCGGCGCCGAGTGGGCTACACCTGCTGCTGCTGTTGCTGATGTTCGCTGACCATATGGTGCCGCTGCCGCTGCCGCTGTTGAATTTCGCTACTCTTCCACCCTCCCTCCTACTCCACCTCCTCCTCCTCCTCCTCCTCCTCTCCTCATCCTCCTCCTCTTCTTTCTCCTTCTCCTCCTCCTCCTCCTCATCCTCCTCCTCTTCCTCCTCCTCCCCATCATCATCATCAGCATCATCATCATCATCATCATCATCATCATCATCATCATCATCATCATCATCATCATCATCACCGCCAACATCTCGTCGATGATCGAATTCCCGAAGCGCTACAGGACAGATGCCCGGGCATAGCTCTGCAAGTAGAGCACACATCCTACGTCGGGACCTCGCTGGTGGAATTTGCGGCTCGGAAGGCGAGCGCCTTCGCAGGACACCGCCCTACGAGCCATCCGCCCACGAACTCTACCGGCCGTCAGTGCTGGTTGAGCGCCGTGTAGTAACAGATGCAGCGAGCCGGGAGAAGCAGTAGCAGATCTTGGCCTGTGAGGACCGCGAGATCGCACGCCTCAAGAGTGCACTCGAAAGCTCCCATGATGCTGAAACGCCAGTGCCACGCAACGCATGGATACTGACGGAGGCGAAGACAATGAGGCTCTCGCGGAGCTGACGGTGGCCAACAAGCAGACTGTAGACTCCAAGGACCCAGTCCTGGCCAAGGCGAAGGCTGACATGGTGGCTGAGCAGGAGCGCCTGCATGCGAAGATCTTGGCAGGCATGCCGATCGGCGCGCGCCTGCGCATGCTAACCAATATGTGTACGGCGCTGGAGAGTAGACGCGACAAGCCGCAGGGCGCCGTCGTCGCTGCAGAAGCAGCAGGCCCAGCTTCAGAAATTCATCGCGGAGGCGGAGAAGGTCCTCTCCGACATCGCGCTGAACTCGTGGAGGCGGAGGCCCAGAGGTGCACAGCAGCGGCAGCGGCCCCAAAGCCTGCGAGAGGCCCGTCTCGCTTCGATCTGCAACCGGAGCGGTCGACGTATCGGCGGGATCGCTCGGCAGATGCTGGCCGCCATCGGTGCCAAGCCCGAGCCAACGCTGCGAGGCGGGGGCTTATCCATATCCACCGCCTGGGAACCGACGCCCTGGGGAACCAGCGGGCGGAGGATATATGAATATGTTGGCCCCCGGGGAGCCCAAGGAGATCCATGTCCACCGCCTGTGGAGCTCCGCGACAATCGATCCTCCAGGCGGTGGTTATGTAAACATCCCCGCCTCGGAAACGTGCAGCTGCCTTCTGATGAGCTTCGCCGTCGCACTCTAACCCCCCTCGTGTGTCTGAACGTGGCCCAGCCAAGAGCCAGCCGAGGTACGAAAACGTGTGGGACCACGGCTGGTCGATGGTATTCGAGACTTCTCTGTTTGTTCCCCTCCTTGGTTGCTCGCCCGCGCCATCCTCGACAGCAGCTGGGCCGAGAAGCTGCTCGGCGCAGTGCCGCCCCTGCCAGGGGGCCGCTTGCTGAGGGGCAGCGGCTGAGGCGTCGGGCCCCTCGAGCGCCCGCAGGCACCAGCGTGGCCGTCCCCGCAGACACACGCGTGGACGCCAACGAGGTCCCTAGCCTGCAGCGGGAGGCAGCAGGGCATGCCACAGCCAACCCGTATCAGAAGGAAGCACGATAAGGATGCAAGGGCCTCGGGAGGCCAGGTCGACACCTTGCGAGCGGGGCGCGGCCTACGAGAGTGGCCAAGGATGGGCCGAGGAGGCAAAGATGCAAGGGTACCCTTGGGAATGTTTCCCATCCTTACCATGCGGGTCGACTGTAGTTCGGCGGCGAGCGAGGGGGAGGGAGTGAGGAGCAGGCCTTCTCAGCAGGCGGCGGGAGGAGTTGTTCTGCGTCTTCGGGCAAGGCTTTAAAACATCTCAGAAGGCAGGGGGATTTCCGGGCCTTCTGAGAAGGCCCGCCCCTTCTCACTTTCCCCCTGGGCTCGCCGCCGACCAGCACTGTGTGTCCTCCTTGGAGGCGGGCGTCCGACCCGAACTTATAGTACAACCATCTTGTAGTATGTCGTTTCCCAAGCGGCATGGCCTCGAAGCGCCCGCCACGGAGCTTATGCTAGAAGACTTCTCGGCGCGCGCGTTGCCCATGGGGGGACGAACACACAGCTTTAGTACGTTGGGGTGACGCCGATGCAGGAGTTCTATAGAGCGGCCTGCGGAAAGGAGCCTCCTGCAGGAGAGGCGGAGCTGCGGGCGGGCGTCAAGAGTTTCAGGGAGGCCTGCGGCAACCGTGCCAAGCGCGCCAAGAAGAAGTAGGCGCCAACCTAAACGGGTACTGGAGCGCTTGCTGTAATGTGTGGGCTGGATGGGTGACCCATGCTGCGCTTGCTGCCCCCCCGCAACCGTGAAAAGGCGGCCCAAACATCCGCTCACTCTTATCCGCAATTGCAAGTGTTGGGTACTTCAGGATGGAGGCGTCGTCAACGTCGCTCTGAAAGATCTGCCTGCCCGCCGCTTCCACAAGACAAGCGAGCACACGCATTTTCCTGACGAATAAATTGATAGGCTGCTACGCAATGCAGTTATTGTTCCGACGGAGGCGCTCTGGCATTGTTGTTGTTGTAGTGATGGCTCTCGGCTACGTTTGGGGTCGATAGGTCTCTGGGCCAGCATATCGTTCGCTGTAGCGCTATGTTGTTCGGTCGTGCCTTCGCGGCTTCGCGACGTAGCCCGCCGACTCGACTGCCCGTGCAGCGGTTGTGTTGATGACTACCAGACGCATCCACTTATACACTCATGCTGGGTATCAGCAAAAACGCACGCCGCATGCCTGGCACGTAAGCCCGTTCAGTGACGCGTGGTGGCCATACGGTGCCATAGAGGAGGTCCGTTCACTCGTAGAAGTGCTTTGTATTTGATTCGTCAGGCGCGTGCATGCGCATTTGCCACACCGTCTGTCCATGGATCGTGGTCGCGGCCACGTTGGGGAAGAGGCGACACAAATCTTAGGCTACGCTGACCGCGAGCTGCCCTTGAGCCCAAATACCTCTCCTCTTCTCGTCCATTACTCGCCCCCGTCTCCTCCTTCCCGACTCCTCCTCATGCGCCTCCTGCTTCTCCGCCTCATCCTCATCGTATTCCTCCTGGCCGGGACCGACCAACGGCGATCTGGTCATCAGATAGATCTGCCCCCCCAAGACTTGCCAATACGCGAAGAGACAGCGTCAGGTACGCGAAGGTACGCGCTCCCACTACTATGAGAGGACGGAAATGGCGGAACCACCCAAGAGCGCGTCACCTTCCCGCCATCCTTGCGCCCTGTAGTTTCATTTACGCTGCCTCCTTTGATGAAGCGGTTGGCGCCCTAGGGACCAGATGGCGGCGGTGTTTGGGCGAATGGGCGGGTAGGTATTGGCAGTCAGAATCTGCCCACCCGACTGGCCCGTCAGAATTAGCCCGCCCGCCCGCCCGGTAGAGCCTGCCGCCCTTCCGCTCGTTCGGTTGAGAACCCGCCATCTCCGTATTCATGTACGGCCCGCCTGGCTCCGCTGGGTCGCCCTTGAATTGCCGAATCCCTGGTGCTGGCAATTGCTGACGGGTGAAGATCGGGGGTGCGAACAAACCATATCAAGAATATACACACCAGCACGTCTTGTGGTGCAACAGCGGCCCTCTCTGTGCATCATGGCGGGATCTGGGCTCTTCTGGGGTGCTGACGCCCGCGAGCTAACAGGCAAAGTCCCTGGTGACCCTCCCCCTCCTCAAGGGAGAATACAAAGTGAATTTGCTCAACTATTCCTCCAGACTCGCTTGGGCCGCTTGTGTTGACGCTGGCATCCCTCCCCAATCTACAAGATAAACCGTGAAGCCATGAGGAGAAGTGCCCCTCCCGCTCAAACACAGCATCCGTGCACTCAGGATGGGGCCGTCGGGGACCAGGGAATGGGGTGCCAGATGTCAGTCCAAACGAACTGCTGACGCCAAGCGCCAACTACTCAGGGATCAAGGCAACAAAGAGCCAGGCATGCAGTCCAACGGCGTGTTCGCAAGCAGGGCTGGTACAGGGTCATGCCATTCAGCACAGCGCTTCAATATTTCTTCCTTCAGGGCTGCTGGATTCCTCACCAGCTTCCGCGCAGCTTTCTCTGCATATGGAAAAGACAGCTGCCACATAGTGACGCTTTTTGTGAACGGCATGGCGTAGATGCGCGTAACCCCGTCCACCGTCTCGAAAATGCGGCGCTCGGTTAAGGGAAACGCGGTCGCGGATTGTGTGCCGCCATCATCACCAAGACCACCACTGGGCCCACCTGTGGGCACATACCCGAGGACGACGATCAAGCCGAGGTAGTTCAGCCGGTCTCCGGGGAGGCTCAGCTGGCGCCGCACAGTCGAGAAGATTCCGTCGGCCCCTACCTTGGGGAGCGAAATCTGTGCACCACACCTTGCTCTCGGCCCATGTTGGGCCGCTACGGCGCGAGGATTCGGGCATCCAAAGAAATGCACGATCGATGCACCGACTGTGGCGTGGTGCACAGATTTCTGCCGCCGGCTGCCAGCAATGCTGCGTCCATGGTGGTGCCGTCGGTCAGTGTGACAGTGACTCCATTCGCCTTGCGCTCGCCGCTGGGGTCTCCATGATCACTCCAGCAGGAAAAGCTGTCCAGCTTGCTGTTCCACCGGATCCGCCACCGTGCGTTCGGCAAACTTGGGCGTGATAGCAAGTCCATTCAGTCTGGGGGCCACACACACTAGAGAACCCCTCCCCCCCGAAACAACCCCAAACCGCCCCAAACAATTCCAAGACGGCCTGGAGAGTCGGGCAGACACCTCTTACACCAGCCTGCAGCAAGCCCCAAGAGACCCCCAATGGTTCCAAAATGTCCCCGAGAAGCCTTAAGATGCCCCAAGATGCCTCCCAGGAGGCACCCAAAGCAGTCTCCAGCAAGGACCCAAGAGGGAAAAAATCCCACCAGCCCTCTGGGCGCAGGTGGTCTAAGGCGTTTCCTTTTCCAACCTCCTTCCTTTCCCTGCTCGGGAGGTTTACCCCCCTCCCTGGCTCCCCCGCGAGGTGGCAGAGGGTCCTTTTTGGCCCAAGATGGCCCCAAGAGGGCCTCAGAGAGCGCAAGATGGCCTCCAAGATGGCCCAAGATAGCGGTTGATGGCTCAAGATAGCCTCCGACACACGTCCAAGAGGCTTCAAGACGGCCCCAAGAGGGTTTCAAGTGCCTTCCGAGCCCTCCAAGGACTCCCCCAAGAGGCCGAAATCCTTTAAACATCCAATCGAAATCAATGTTGTTTGCCTTCTCGCGTTTTCGCCTCCGTTGGGCTCTTCAGGCCTCAAAATGGCCCCAAGACGGCCCAAGAGGGCCCCAAGACGGCCCCAAGAGTGCACAAGAGCGCTCCAAGAATGGGCCAAGTGGGCCCCAAGACGACACTTTTGAGCCTCCAAGGGGGTGGTAGAATTTAGTACCCCCCTCCTTTTGAACTATGGGGCCCAAGACAGCCCCACGAGACCTCCCAGATCCCCCCAAGAGCCCCAAGAGGGCCCCAAGACCCCCAAAAGAGTCGTAAGAGGGCTCCAATACGGCCCCAAGAGAGCCCCAAGAGGGCTCCAGCAGCAGCACCACCACCAGCAGGAGCACCACAAGCAGCAGCGCCAGCAGCAGCACCAGCACCAGCACCAGCACCAGCAGCAACAGCATCAACGGCACGAGCATCAGAGGCAGCATCAGCAGCAGCACCGGCAGCACCAGCACCTGAGCAAATTCAAAACGCACGCGAGCTTGAAGTACAAACCAGTGCAAGAGCTAAGATCAACGATGTCCATCGAAATACAACTCTACTCAGCGCAACACTGGCGTCGGATCGTAGATACAGAAACCTGCGCCAGACACGCTTCCCACAGGGAACAACGTGGCGCATCTTGCACTGATTTCTTTCGTAAGTCTCATTGCGCCCCAGGGTACTGCCCCCCCAGTTTGGACGCTTCCAAAACGGCTGTGCGACCGCGTGAAACCTCCGAAAAATCCCCAAAACCCAACGCAACAAGCATGCAACGTTACGGCTGCGCCAGACTAAAGCACCGTAGAACCGTTTCCTAAACGGCTCCAAGCTGGTTGTAGCAAGCCTGCTGAGACAAGCACCATGCGTACCGTTCGATGCAGCGCTGGCACGGTGGTGACGTTTGCCGCAGGCATTTGGATAGTGCCTGGACGAATCCGGTCAACGATTCTGGCACGGAGCGCTTGCCGTGGAATATGGACAAACCGCCCTCCGCTGCTGGATGATGTACGCTGATCCTGACGGAATGCATCGCCGTAGCCGCTGGCCTCTTCGGAGGTGCACAGGCGTGCATGCGTACCGTCAACTCGTCGACGGCTCCCCAGACCCATGGCCCCATCTGGAATCACTGAGTCCAAGCGCATGCTTTACTTCCGCCCGCCTTCCGGTTGCTTCTGCCGACACTCGCCACCCGTCCGCCTCCTTCCGCCGACAGCGAGAAGCCAACTCTTCGACTCCTCGAAGGAAGCCCCTTTATAACATGTGTATATATATATATATATGTAGATACATGGGTACAAACACGCACATGTATATGTGTACATATATATGTATATATATATACATGCACAGATACCGGGAGGAGAAAGAAAGAGAGAGAGAGAGAGATGCGACGTTTGGAATGTACCAGGGGTGGGCACTCCTGGACTTCGAAGCGTTACGTCTGAAGCCTCCAGATATGTTCCTGGGGATTCCTTGAAAACTCACCATGGCTGGAAGTACAGATCCTGGACTCAGAGACCTTATACTGCAAACGTTCCAAGCTTACCCCTCCAAATGCTCTCAAAATGTCGAATGTAATCTTCCAACATGGCTCCCGAAGACTCTACCAGCACTCCCCCTGAGACACTCCCGTGGTACCCAGCGGATGCCACCCAGCACTGACGCCCAATACTGAAGCTTTAGGGCTGGCGGTGGTGCACCTAAGGGCGCTTGATGCTCCTAAGACATTCCCCTCTGCCGAGAAAGTGTAGTGTGACGTAGAGGGCGCATCGTCTTCCTCTAGGCTGATGCCCAACGCCTGTATGGTACCCAGCTTCTGGATTGTCAGGCCATACCCCTGCTTGCGCGCATCCAGGCAGGAGTCTGATTCGAGAACGACGACATCAAATCCCTTGCTCTGCAGCGCCACTGCAACGGCTGCCCCGCCGATGCCGCCACCAGCAATCACGATGCGGCCACATTTCGACGTATCTGGGGAGGCCGTGAGCGACATCGTAACAGAGTCCGCCTCCCCCATTCGCTGACGAAGGCGCTTGGCAATACCTTTCTGCCCAGCTGTTGCAAACGCCCATGCTGTGTTGTCGAGATCTTCGTCTTTTAGGTCATCAATATATCGCTCGACTGACCTTGCCAATGCCACAAACAGCTGCGTATCTAGGTTACCTGCATTTGCAAACGCCCATGCTATGTTGGCAAGGTCCTCTGCGCCAAAATCTTCTAAGCGCCCCTCTGCTGTCCTTGCCAGCGCTGTGAACAACTTTGCATCCTGCTGGCCTGCTTTTGCAAATGCCCATGCTATGTTGGCAAGGTTCTGTGCACTGAAGTCTTCGAGGCGCCTCTCCGCCGCCCTTGCCAACGCGGCAAAAAGTTGCGCGTCCGGGAGGCCAATCTTTGCAAATGCCCACGCCGTGTTCACTAGATCCTGAGCGTTGAAATCAGTCAGGCGTCTTTCTGATGACCGCGCAAGCGCCGAAAAGAGCTCGGCATCCACATGGCATGCCTTCGCAAACGCCCAAGAAATATTGGCGAGGTCCTGCGCGTTGAAAGAGCTCATGCGGCTCACTGTCGACTGCGCCAGCGCCTTCGACAGCTTTGCGTCCAATTTATTTGCCTTTGCAAACGCCCACGCTACGTTGGCGAGGCCCTGCGCATTGAAGTCGCCGAGCCTCCTCTCGGTTGATGCGGCCAACGCTGCGAACAGCTGTTCATCCAAATGGCCTGCCCTAGCAAAAGCTCCCGCTGTGTGGGCGAGGTCCTGCGCATTGAAGTCGTTCATGAGCCATTCGGCCGAGGTGGCCAAAGCCGCAAAGAGTTTCGCGTCCGAGTGTCCAACCTTAGCAAACGCCCACGCTGTATTTGCGAGGCCCTGGGCGCTGAAGTAGTCCAAGTTGCTCCCCACCACCCGCGCCAACTCTGTGAAAAGCTTCTCGTCTGGGTGGCCCGCCGTTGCAAACGCCCACGCTATGTTTGCAAGCTCCTGCGCCTTGAAACTATCTGCGCGGCTCTCTGCCGCCCGAGCCAGCACCTTGAACAACCCTCTGTCGCACTTGCCCGTTTTCGCAAACGCCCACGCCGCGTTGGCAAGCTCCTGCGCGTTGCAGTCATGCAAGCGCTGCTTTAGCGACTTGGCTAAAGACGCCATCAAGGCGTCCATGTGCTGCCCCCCGCCGCTTCGCGCCACCCCATATGCGATATTGACCAATTGCCGTGCTTGGAGTTGTCCAGCAGAGATCATGCCAACCGTGTGCTGCACGAGTGACTCCAGCGCAGTTGCATGCTCGTTGAACCATAACGGTCCCGAAGAGCGTGCTAGATGACCCAGTGAGTTCCAGCAAGCTGATAGATGAATATGGTTGAGCTGTTTCTGGTGAACGGAATAGGTGTTGAACAACGCTTGGATCGTGCGGGCCTGCTTTATGTAGCTCGTGAGCAATGCCGGGCTGACATTACCTTCATGAGCGCGGCCAGCTGCCATCTGTCCGTCCAACGCCAGATCCGAGGCATCCGCATCACGCTACCAGGATTTGGGCACTTGGGCAAAATAAACAGCTACCTCAACACATGAACCTGATGGCGGTGGCTGCAGCAGTGTCGCGAGGACCCCTACGTCCACTTTAGCGGCAACACTCCGATGACCGATGCCCCAAGCGTGGGGGAGCACGCCTGTGTCGTTGCTGATATGTGTTGCCATCGGCACTGAAAGTGGCCACGCGCATCTGACCCATGAGCGGAAGTGAGGACCCCATCGCGAGCATCGCTCGCTGGAAAAATTGACATACTGAAGGCGCCATGTGCCAATCACAATCGGAACGGCCATGTTCGGGTCCAGTAATGAGCCTGGCGAAGAATCCAACCCTTCCTAGACACACGGCGGCTGGAAGCAGGACCGCTAAATACACAAGGACACAGTGACCCCACGAAATGTGAGGGGTGTGCCGAAATGGGGCAGGGGACCATGCGGGCCCAGCCACTGGGGCATTCGGTGGCACTCTGTATGGGGCCGCAAAACGTGTGAGAGGAGTGCCGAAATTCGCCAGCCCAACGGGCCAGAGGCGTGCTAAGATCTCCGGTAACTACTTAACAATATGTCTAGTTCGCGCGCGCGCGGGGCGGCCCCTGGGGAGCCCCGGACGAAAAGTACCCCGGCCGATCCCCTGCTGGGTCCCGGGCGATCCCCAGGGGGGAGGCTATTTTTCGCCACCCCTCACGAGGATCGTGGCCTCCGAGGGGGGGGCTGCAATCGACTACCCGCCCTCCCGCCCCAAGGGCCCCCCAAGAGCCCCCCAGGAGGCCCCGCGGGAGCCCAATACGCCGCCAAGGAGCCCCAAGACGCTCCCAAGAAGCCCCCAAGAAGCCCCTAAGACGGCCCTAAGAAAGAGGCCCCAGATAGCGCTCCAGGGCCAGCGGAATGAGCGAAGCGATGAAATAAAACGGGCCATCATCTGGACCCTGGCAATGGGGCCCTCGGTGGAGCGATGAGACCAGGAAATATGCGAAGGGTGTGCCGATATGGGTGGCGGGGCACAATGCAAACGCAGGCACTGGTGCCTTCGATGGAGCTCCCCGTGGGGCCACGAAGCGTGTGAGGGGTGCGCAGGAATTGGGCGAGTCACCATGCGGCCCCTGTCACTGGGGCCTTGGATGGAGCCCCCCATGGGGCCACGGAACCAAAGCGAGAGCGCGAGTCCAGCGAGTCGAGAGAGAGAGAGAGGGCGATTCGTGAATAAATCGCTAGGCAGTCTCAAGCGAAAGGGCGGATCGTGGGTAAATTGCAAGCAAGTGTCCAGCGAAAGCCCGAGTTATCCGCCGGCCCCCTTGTGGGGCCACCAGGCTGTAGGACGAAGCTTCGCAGTTTCCTGTGCCAGTTGCAGCTTCCAGTTTCCACTGTTACAGTTCTGCTTCTTGCTGCTTACTGCTCCTTGTTGACTTCTTGCTGCTTACTGTTCCTTGTTGATGGGCCGCGCGAGGGGGGGAGGTCCAAAACGGGCATTTCTACCACGCCCTGAGCGTGTTGCGTGAATTGCTGGGGTGGGTAAAAATTGACACCCCTCACGCAGATCGGCAGGGTCAAGGTCCAAAAGCACAGGGGATGAGCCACATTTCTGAAATTCGGTGGCACCCCTCACGCATATCGGCGGGGTCAGGGTCCAAAAACACAATGGATTCGCCACATTTCTGAAATTCGGTGCCACAACTCATGCAAATCGGCGGGGTCAGGGTCCAACATGATCGACCCACGAACCCGGAAAGGAATATAGAAGTAACCTCATGCCCGTGAGAATAAACACTAGGGGATAATAAAGTTCGGGGTTCAGGGAGAGATAATTAAAGTAGCCCAGCAGACCTCAGCATAATCTCGAAGTAAGAGATGATCAAGAGGAGACCAAGCCGAGCACGTTTTGAGACATCCTTGGCGTTTAGTTTTCATAGAAATATCCTCAACAATGGCTCATCTCTCATGAAAATTGTTTTTTGTAAGTGCTCGTGTAGGGTAGCTCATGTGCCTCAATTTCCATGGATAATCAACCCCAGAGATAAAAAAGTTCAGGCGAGCGTGGGGACAGAGAGAAATATAAAAGAAGAAGAATACAGTAGAATAATAATAATAAGAAGAAGAAAAGAAGAAGAATACAGAAGAAGAACATAGCGTTTCGAGGTGATAATGAAGTTCGACCTCAGTGCTCGCCGCCCAATTTGAATTTTGTATAGGGCGACGATAATCAACTCTAAACACTGAAGGGGGGGGTCCCTTTATTATCATCGGCATGCGGTTATAAGGCATGGCAACGTTTCAAAGACACTTGATTGGGCGACGGGCAAATGCAGTGCAGAATGTACAGATCTTGATGTACTGTGCCGAGGGCTGTGCTGTGCTGGCCGTGCTGAACTGCGATGTGCCATGCCGCGATTGTGCTCTATATAGCGTTGTGGATCGAGTCCTCCCTGGCATCCGATTCCTGACCGAACTGATCTGGATCTTAAGCTCGAGCTGCCTGAGCAGATGGTAGCTGTCCCAGAACTCATCGACAGAGGGGACATGCCAGGAGGACGCGCCGCGGAACGTCCCAAGGGACGCGCCAGGCGGCGTGCCAGGGGACGTGCCATGTGCACGCACCGCGGGACGTGCCAAGGGGACGCGCTACGGAACGTGCCAATGGACGTGCCGCGGGACGTGCCAGGGGACGCGCCGCGCGACGTGCCAGGTGGACTCGCCAAGGAACGCGCCAAAGAACGTGCCAGGGTGCAATGTTGACTGTATCGATCTTGATGTACCGTGCCGACGGCTGCGCTGTGCTGGCCGCGCTGAACTGCGATGTGACATGCCGCGATTGTGCTCTATATAGCGTTGTGGATCGAGTCCTCCCTGGCATCCGATTCCTGACCGAACTGATCTGGATCTTAAGCTCGAGCTGCCTGAGCAGATGGTAGCTGCCCCATAACTAATCGACAGGGGGACATGCCAGGAGGACGCGCCGTGGAACGTCCCAAGGGACGCGCCAGGCGGCGTGCCAGGAGACGTGCCATGGGCACGCACCGCGGGACGTGCCAAGGGGACGCGCTACGGAACGTGCCAATCGACGTGCACCGCGCGACGTGCCAGGGGGACTCGCCACGGGACGCTCCGCAGAACATGCCAGGCAACATGCCAAGCTGCAATGCTCAAGGTATCGATATTGATGTACCGTGCCGAGGGCTGTGCTGTGCCTGGGCGACCTGGACACGTGAAAACACGCGTTTCGCTCAAGACGTTCTCAGCACATCCTCACGTTAGACATCCGCCTGGGCAACCTGGACACGTGCAAACAAGCGTCTCGATCGAGACTTCCTCGACACATCCTCATGCTAGACATCCGCCTGGGCGACCTGGACACGTGAAAACAAGCCTCTGGTTCGAGAAATCCTCAACCAAATCCTCATGCTAGACATCTGTCTGGGCAACCTGGAGGCGTGAAACCAAGCGTCTCGCTCGAGACATCCTCAAGACCTGGGCACGTGAAAACAAGCATTTCACTTGAGAGATCCTCTGAATTCAAGCCCCCAGGAGAGAACAAAATTTAACACAAAACAAGCGTTTCGCTCGAGACATCCTCAACAAATTCTGAAAAAAACAAGCGTTTCGCTAGGGACATCCTCAAATTTTAATTCGCCGGCCTTACGCGACCTCGTTATTTATAGCAAAAGAAATTCGCCGGCCCTACAGCCGGCGGATCCGGAGGTAAACCTCTAAAAGAGAACCCTGGGCCCAAGCCCTTTCTGGGAAAAACACAAAAAGGATTTGCCACATTTCTGAAATTCGGTGGCACCCCTCACGCAGATCGGCGGGGTCAGGGTGCAAAAACACAAAGGATTTGCCACATTTCTGACATTAGGTGGCGCCCCTCACGCAGATCGGCGGGGTCAGGGTTTTCTGAAATTCGGTGGCACCCCTCACGCAGATCATGGTCAGGGTGCAAAAAGACAAAGGATTTGCCAAATTTCTGACGTTCGGTGGCGCCCCTCACTCAAATCGGCGGGGTCAGGGTCCAAAAACACAAGGGATGAGCCACATTTCTGAAAGTCGGTAACACTCCTCACGCAGATCGGCGGGGTCAGGATCCAAAAACAGAAGGGATTTGCCACGTTCCTGAAGTCGGGCGGCACCCCTCACGCAAATCGGCAAGGTCAGGTACAAAAACACAAGGGATTTCCAACATTTCTATAATTCAGCGGCACCCCTCACGCAGATCCGTAGGGTCAGGGTGCAAAAGACACGAAGGATGTGCCACATTTCTATAATTCGGTGGCACCCCTCACGCAGATCCGAAGGGTCAGGGTGCAAAAACACAAAGGATTTGCCACAGTTCTGACATTCGGTGGCGCCCCTCACGCAGATCGGCGGGGTCAGGGTCCAAAAACAAAGGGATTTGCTACGTTCCTGAAAGTCGGTGGCATCCCTCACACAAATCGGCGGGGTCAGGGTCCAAAAACACAAGGGATTTGCCACATTTCTGAAATTCGCTGCCACAGCTCACGCAAATCGGCGGGGTCAGGTATAAAAACACAAGGGATTTACCACATTTCTGAAATTCGGCGGCACCCCTCACGCAGATCCGTAGGGTCAGGGTCCAAAAACACAGGGGATTTGCTACATTACTGACATTCGGCGGCACCCCTCACGCAGATCCGTAAGGTCAGGGTCGAAAAACAAACAGGTCCCGACACTGCTTCACGGCGGCGCCCAAACCACATGATTTAGCTTTTGCATCTCCCATTATCCGAGACAGGGGGCCGGCGACATGGGGCGAAGCCCTTACGGATTAACACAAACTGTGAAGAAACATCAAGCGGGAGCTGCTGTTGTTGCAAACTGGGGGCGAACAACACAGTCTGACGTGCAAGACTTCCCCTTGTAAACATCAGGATGCGAGTCCTGGGAGGTCAATGGTGATCATCAATGAACAATACGTCCCCTTCAATTGAAACGCACAATGGTGATCAACAATATTATTCGTCAGAAGTGAGAAGTTAACCATGCAGCGTTGCTGCTGCGCCACGCTACCGCTTCCTAGACGGCTCCAAAATGGTACGTACTGCCGAGCCTGCTCGGAGATCTCGTTACAACCACCATGCAGGAATTCAGATACTGTGCTAGCACAGTTGCAGAACTTGTCGCAGGCAGCTGGGTAATGGATCATGCTAGAAGCACTTGAACACATCAATGGGACCCGCCCTGTGCGCTTGCAAGAAAAACCTTCCATGAGAAGCATCACCAGCACAAGGAGGAGGAAGACACGTTCGGCTCCGGAAATCACGAACAGGGCGGAATTGGTCACTCCTGGAGACCAAACTTCGGCAGGTTTTGGGCAGGCATCTGCTGGCGGAAACACCTTCGCTTTACTTATTTACTTATGATAGCTTCTCTGTGGACATAGCGCCGACTGGAACAGGTCAGCCCTTCGATTCTTCGAAGCCGATGCCAGTTCTGAAACGGCCCACGTGGAAAGAGAGTCGCGCCTCGGAGGCCTAGGAGTTGAGCGCCAACATCAGTATCGACGGTCGCCTCCCTTGAAAGACGGTGAACCCCTATCTTGGTGATTGTGGTTGTCTTCAGGCCTCTCTTAGGTGACCTAAACATTACAACCGAAACGAAAATCGACGATCTTCCCCGGGTGGAGGCGACCCGCAATATTCACAGACTTCTGATGGATTGAACTTTTCAATCCGCAGTCCCCAGAAGTCTCGACCCCTTCGTTAGTCGAAGTTCTTCGTTCCGGGTCCATCTTTGATTGTCCCAGGGCCCGAAAGAGCCCCCAGACAACAAAATATACCACAGCCGCCAGGATTGGAAAAATCGATTCGCCCGAAGCCCAGGCTGGTGTTGGTGCAAACTTCTGCGGTCAGAGACTTTTGGATAGCGTGTCGCAGCGGCGGCCCCAGCGACACGCTATGCCTTGCAAGCGGATAGCGTGTCGCTCCGCCCCGCGGGGCGGGAGGCCAGCGTGGCGGAGCCCGGAAACCGGGACGTGCATAGCGTGTCACACCGACGGAGCGACACGCCATCCAAAACATCGCGACCGTAAGCCTCCGAACACCCCAACCCATCCACGTTGCGGTCTTCGGCAGGGGCGCGGCGCGTGCGCGGGCGCGCCGAAGCCCGGGGCAGCCAGCAGGGCTGCCAGCCGATCCACCTCTGCCTGGCGCAGCGCGCCACCCGCAGTTCACTTGTTTGTCTCTTGTCGCTTCCCAGGGCTAGAGCATAGTGGTGATAGCCGAATCCACGCAGATGCTGGGAGTGAACTCGACGGCGTGCTCTAGGGCTACAGCCTCAGATGGAAATGAAGGAACAGGCTGTCAAAATATGGATAAGGGACAACAGCATGAAGGCGCATGAATGTGTACTTCGACGTGGCATGCCGCTAGATGCTTTCCGTGTGCCCCACTTCGCTGTGTATCAGCAGGTTGTGCGAAACTCTATTTCTGCCTCTCTCTCTCTCTCTCGGCGGGGGGCCTGTGTTATCCATATATCGGAGGTTGGGGGGTGAGATCGAAGTGGAACGGACAGCCCCCCACTGGGAAATCGGTTTCGGTTTCGGCTTCGCGTCGTGCTTGCGGGCGGGGCGAAGCTGCGTGGGCGGGCGAGAGGAATGACTCCGCTGTAGCTAGGGCGGATCAAGAGCCGTTGACCGCCCCTCCTCCCTCCCAAATGGGTGGGCGGTGGCCAGGTTGTCCCGCCGTGGTGTCCCGTCGCTGTCCGTGGGCGGGCGGTGGGCGGGTTGTCGTGTCCCGTCGGTGTCCCGTCGGCGTCCCGTTGGTGTTCTGTGGCTGTCCCCTCGCTGTCCCGTCGCTGTCCCCTCGCTGTCCCGTCGATGTCCTGTTGGTGTCCCGTCGGTGTCCGGTTGGTGTCCCGTCGGTGTCCCGTTGGTGTCCCGTCGGTGTCCCGTCGGTGGCCCGTCGGTGTCCCGTCGGTGTTCCGTGGTGAGATCGATGGTGAGATCGATGGTGAGGCCGATAGTGAGGCCGATAGTGAGATCGAGCGAGTGAGATCAAGAGTAAGACCGATAGTAAAATCGATCGTGAAATCGAAAATGCGATCCCGATGGCGTCCCGTCGGTGTCCCGTGGTGCCCCGTCGGTGTCCCGTCGGTGTCCCGTCAATGTCACGTCGGTGTCCCGTCGGTGTCTTGTGGTGTCGCGTGGTGAGATCGATGGTGAGATAAATAGTGGCACCGATAGTGAGATCGATAGTGAGGTCGGCAGTGAGAGCGATAGTCACTTCGATAATGAGAAAGATCGAGTGAGCTCGATAGTCAGATCGAGCGAGTGAGATCGATAGGGAAATCGACAGAGAGATCGATTGGTGTCCCGATGGTGTGCCGATGGTGTCCCGTGGTGTCCCGTCGGTGTCCCGCGGGTGTCCCGTCGGTGTTTCTTCCGTGTCCGGCGGAGTCCCGTCGGTGTCCCGTGGTGTCCCGTGGTGTCCCGTGGTGAGATCGATCGTGAAACCGATAGTGAAATCGATAGTGAGATCGATCGTGAGATCGATAGTGGGATCACTAGTGATATCTAGAGTGAGATCAAAAGTGATATCGGTCGAGTGAGAGCGGTGATAGGATCGATCGAGTGAGACTGGGAGCGAGATCAATAATGAGATCGATGGTGACCTGATGGTGTCCTGATTGATGCCCCGATTGGTGTCCCGATTGGTGTCCCGATTGGTGTCTTGATGGTGTTCTGGTGTTGTTTCGATGGTGTTTCGGTGGTGTCCTGGTGGTGTTCCGATAGGTGCCCCGAGTGGTGTTCACATGGTGCCCCGATTGGTGTACCGATGGGTGTCCTGATGGTGTCCTGGCGGTGTTTCGATGGTGTCTCGACGGTGTCCTGGTGGTGTCCATAGTGAAACTTTGGGGGGATCGCAGAGAACCTGATACGCCAAAAGGTTTTCAATGTCAGCATCGCCGGCCACGGGATCAACTGTGACATTGAGCGAATGATGCTGCTGTCGCCGCCGCACTCATCACAACAAAGGCCATCACCTTGCCATCAGCAGCCAGCCATCGCACTTAGCACCAACCATCGTAGCACAGTAGTGGTGGCGTTTATTTGGCCTCATGGTGCCCTGGTGGTGTCTCTATGGTGAGGTCGACCGAGTGTGATCGATAGTGGGGACCACATCGCGACACAGCATTGTCACCACGCGTCGTCGCCAAATCGAGGGCGCATCACCATCATCGTCATCATCACCGCCATCGCAGTGATCGTCAGTGGGTTGTTTTCCCCCAACCAAACTCCTTATCGCCCGAAGGATGGTCGTATAGGAGTCTATATATGTATATATATACATATACATATACATGTACATATACATATACATATACATAAACATATACATACCTAAATGTATATATATATATATATATATAGATCTGGCAACATACATATACACAAATTCCCTTTGCTACTTGTGGCGTCCAAAAACCTGGATAGCGGAGCAGTCCAAAGCGCCTGAAATCCTGTGGAATACGCTGGCACGGGTGTCTGGGAAGCTTGCAAGCTCCAGAAAGGAGCTTCGCAGGAGCTCTGAAAGAGCGCCGAAGAAACTGCGGCAAGGCTTGCGCCAAACGTACTGGGAACGAGTAGGTAAATGCTTCCAGGACACGCGGCAAGTTCAAGCAAGCTGTTGCGGGGATGCCTGCCCAGCGCCAGAAATCGCTCCGGGGTTACCATGCGCTGTCGGCTTCTAATCAGAAGCCTTGTTGGCTCTCAGAGAGCTATCCGGGAACATCTCCCAATCGTCCTGTTGTGTTGGGTGTTCGTTTTGAAGAGGCAGCGCCCCACGTTCCTCATTCCTCGTTCCTCCTCCCCTGCCCTCCTCCTC